GACAGAAGGAATGAGGACAGACAGAGTGGGACTCACCTCCTGCTTGGCCTCTGTGATGGCCTTGTCCAACATGAAGGGAAACTCCTGGACCTGTCTCTTCAGACAGTTGTAGTCACAGGTGAGAGTCCTGAGGGCCGGCTGCAGGCTCAGCAGGTTCATCCGCACACCTGAGACACACACACACACACACACACACACACACCGTGAGAAGACACACACGCCCACACAGCGACACACACTGTGACCCAGGAAGACAGAGAGGACACTGACCTGCCAGGTTCTCGTGGACGGCCTTCATCTCGCTCTCGGCTCTGATGAACGCCTCCTCGATCACGCGGTTCTTCTCCTCCTCCAGATTCTGCATCTCCACCTCCAGCTGTCCCTGAGCCCGCTCCATCTCCCCCTCATACACCAGGATCTGACGGGGGACAGGGAGGACGTCGTTACAGGGGACAGAGAGGACAGAGAGGACGTCACCACACAGGACAGAGAGGACACTGAGCACATCAGCACAGAGGACACAGAGGACAGACTCTCTGCAGTCAGTTTACAGTGAACTTCTGCTGTCCATCTGATGATCACAGAGTCAGAGGACAGAGAGGACAGAGGACACAACACTAACGTCACAGAGTCATAAAATCCTGTCTCACAGAACTATAAACCTCAGGCTGGACTTCCTGTCCTCACCTGTATCTGTAACAACACACCTACAGGACGTCCCTCACAGCCCCAACACATTCAACCAAACTGCAAGAGACATTAAAGTCCTCTCTTAGTTTGAAATCAACTTCACTCACGTTCTCTCTGATCAGAAACACACACACTGACAGATTTAAAAATAACACACTGCACTGCTTTAAGATTATTATATCGTGTCAGAGGGAGCATGAACGAGTGACGTGGTGCGACATGGCGCTGTGATGTCATTCATGATGTCCAGTAAGAAAACCAAAAGCAGAAGCTGAAGGAGTCAGAATGAGAAAAAGATGGACATGTGTCAGTGAGAGCTGGAGCGAGACTTTACTGTCAGCTTTAATATCTGCTGACAGTAGCATGCTAACTGGAGTTAGCCTCAAGGGCTAATGTTTACTGTAGCTTGGCAACACCATCAGCTGCTCTGTGATCATCCAGCTTTACAAACTCATCAGACTGGATCTGTCAACTGTTCAACTCTTTGCGACCAAGATCTCAGATCAGACTGTCGGGAGGGAGAATCAGTCCTGAACCTGCTGCAGTCTGTCTGTCCTCACTCATCGTCTGGAGACTCAGAGTCAGTATGAAAACACATTTTCAGATCTTTAGTTTCACTGAAGATTCGTCTCTTAATAACCTGTATGGACACATGAAGCTGCTACCACTGGAGATCACTCAGGTAAATACGACCACTGGCGCACAGGTTCAGGAGGAGGAGTCAGAAACAGGAAGGACACATTCACACTGCAGCCGAGGCCTCGTCCACACGGACACAGGATGTTTTTAACAGTTTTCCTACTTTAATATAAAGAAAAAATTCCCGCCCACACTCACAGTCAGTTATAAAAAACTTTGCCCGAATGGAAACGCACAAACAAAATAAAACCAGCAGGCAGTGATGTAACAACAACACTAAGGAAGAAGATGCTGGCCAAACAGAAACAGCAGTTAGCTGAAGTTAGCTGTAGCACTGACCTCTGACCTCTGCAGTCTCATCTCTCAGTGATGTGCTAAATGCTTAGCACAAAAACTGGAAGCGGAGGAAACTGTTAGCCTAGCTTAGCACAAAGAC